AGCATACGAGCGGGAAATTTAAACGTTCGGAAAGACTAGACTTTAGTTTAGAACTATGACGACTTTAGTGTAGAACTATGACAGTTTCTGGAGAAAGATTTATACGGAGAGAGGTGATCTGGATGAGACACATAATGTATTTTGAATTCTCGATGTGTGCATTGCCACATTAGCGGTCAGTTTTTTCCTGGGGTAGACCACTGAGAGTTGACTCTACAAGACAAATTTACGCTAACCACTCCCCCGAAGCGGCTAAATCAGCGTTTAATTTTCCCTTGGGGTACTCCGGTGACAATTTACCTGTCGTGCGCAAATATGCGCTACCTACTCTTCCACAATTGCTTAATTGTGATGCCAAAAACTTTTTTTCCGATTAGTCACGAACTTTTTCGCGTCGCTTCGGCCAAAGTCCCTAAGCGCTACAAAGAAAAAAAGGACTATTGTTTACTACTTAATGTGTGAAATTGAGCCGGAACAATAGACCATTTCTCATCAGTCCAGTGCATCACGCACTGCTCTAGATGGCTTTGAGATCCCTCTTTGGAAAACGATAAAAAAAAAAATTAGATCGCTTATTGAACCGGAAATTGTTTAATAAAAGATCTTTTGAGTAGTACATGTAGAACATTTTGAGTGCTATTTATCAAAAAAGTGGAGGTTCCCTTTTATGATTTCTCCTTTAAAAGTTTGCTCAAATTAATTTGCTTGTCGTCATAGCTTCACCAATATTACTCATCAGTCTCTGGCTGTTGAGAGAAAATGCTAAAAGCTAATGATCTTACGGAAGCGTTATCAGTTACAATCAAGAAAACGAAGAGTCTTGAAACAAGAGTGAATCGAGCATTTAGACGTTTTAAAACGATTAGAAACAACTAAACTGAGTACTTAAAATGTTCTGATTTCTCTGTCAGTAAACGCAAGACTACCCTGCAAAAATTATCGGGCTATTGTCCAATTTATTGGAGCTGATGGCTGTTGTGGTCAAACCGGAGTGACCTCCTCATCTGTGATTTTGGACATCGTGACAGTGGTCGTCATGGTGACAACATTGAGGGGACTGTGTGCTGGCTCTTTAGACGATTCGGTACACTGCCTCACCATAGACAAGTTTAGAATCAAGTTTAGAATCTAAAACTACAGAAATATGAAAAGATGCATCAGTCTGTGATTCGGTTTAAAATTACGTTTTAAAAATTTGAGATTTCAAATTAAAGGTTTTTGGAATGATTTCAAAGCAGGGATTTTGATAGCTTCTGCTTGGTAAATTGTGGGTTATTTTTGACTGAAACTTAAGAGGGAACAATTAAACAAGTTTGGAGGTAGGAATCCTCATTCTTCAAGATTTTACCTTTCACTCAAGTTTCCTCTACGAAATTTCTCTTTGCTTTGAAAAATGTTGGAAGGCTTCTTCCGGATTTCGGTTTTTTTATACATTCATCAAAATCACGATCCGTACCATTGTGTTAGAGTGTATTAGAGTAACAAGGTGCGTGACTTGTATTTAGCGCTTTCCAATTTGTTCATAGAAAGAAAAACAAACAAAAAATATTGTCATGAAAGTCATAGTTTTACCTAAACTACTCTGGCATGATAAAGGACGCGTGGTCTCTTGCATTCCTATTTTTTCGGGACTCTTATCACCAGCCTCCTCCTGAGTGGGAAGTGGAAGTGGACTCTCTTCGTACGGACCTTCGGGTGGCAGAGAGACTCTACCCTCTGTTTGTGTTTGATTGACTTGTTTATCGTCTTTACCATTTCCTTGTTTTTGATTTTTCGTCTGGCCAGCTCCGTTTTCCACCACAACCACACCAATCCTCATCGGTGGGGCCTTTCGGCCTTTACGCATAGCTTTGTAGCACGCGATGACGAAGATCGTGATGACAACAAAGAGACCGCCCACAAAAGAACCAGCTATGATGCCCATATTTGGTGAGGCGTCTCCAATCAGGTTGGAGACTGGCTCACTCGAAGAAGAGATTACTTCGCTGTTGATTGTAGAAGGGGTTGGCCGCCATTGGGTCGTGGACTGATCTGGTAGAGAGGTTGACTGCGTCGTGCTCATACTTGAAGCCGTCAATGCGCTGCACTTGTCAGATCGCAGGTAGCTACACTGCATGCCTTTTCGTACACCTGAAACTTGACACTCGGGTATAATTATATCGTTATTATCATTACAGCACGGAGAGCAGGGCTTGCATAGTCCAAGCATGCCTTCGGCATACGCACCCGTTTTGCACCTTCCACACTCCGCCTTGGAGGTCACGGTACAGGTTTTCGTCGTTTCACGGTACTCACCGCAATTTCCACAGTCTTCACAAGCTGCTGCATTGAAGGAAGCAGAAAACGTCTCTCCTAGCACACATGGTTTGCACTGCACTGGTGTTGAAGGGGTTATCACGTCCCCGCAATTGACTGAAAGTCCCTCTCCAGGTGGGCATTTAAGACAGGCCTGGCACTGAATCGAACCAGTTACTGGATCACGGATTGTAATCTGATCAAGTTTGCACGATAAATTGCCCTGAACCC